CTGATAGAAGGAAGAAACAGAGTGATAGAGAGATGGGCTAATCAGTCTGCTGCTTCTCCATTCACTGTTCAGTCACACACTGAGGGAGGAACAAGACCTGTATTACCTAACTGCAGAAAGATCGGGTCCCTTCCACTGCCAGACAGGGCTGTGCTGTGTAACTCTCAAGACTGAAAGGAAAGAAATAGAAATCCTTTGATGGGTAAAATAGATATATGTATTCTATTGGTGGATTTAACTGTTAGCATGGATGTCAGCTTTAAGTCTGCTATGCACACCTAACCCGAGCATATTCCTGATGATTTTGAAGCATTTTTACAGGCAGTTTATAGGTGTTTTTGCATGTGTATAAAGCATTCAAGAGTTTGTGACCTGGGCTGAGCAAGGGTAGCACACATTTAAAAGCCCTCTAATCAAAGTCTATGGGACCAAAAACATCTGAATATTTGTGAGTGGGTAGAGTAAGGACAGATACCCTGTCTGTTAGAGACAGAACTAGTGTCAGGGAAATGTTCCTGCCAAGGAGGGAAAGCGTAGGTTTCACAACTTCTCTGGACAAATTCACGCTTGGGAACAAGATGGCCAGGTCACATTCTGTCCCTCCTAACGGTCACATTCTGTCCCTCCTAACCGCTATCAGTTTGGCTAAAATCTGCTCTTTACACACTGTCAGGACCAGTGAATGTTCCCAGTTGGTCTATCTTCCCAACGGGTTTATTGCGAACCGACTTTGCATTACTTCAATACAAGTTCTTTACATCACCCTTGGACTCTGTGGGTTATTGCCACTGTACCGTGCTGCACCCCCCCCCCCCCCTTTACAAGTCAGTGTGCCATTCAGAATACAGTTAAGTCCATATATATTTGGACACAGGCACAATTTTAGATTTTTTCAGGTATTTACCAAAACGTATTCAAGCTATAGTTATATAATGGATATGGGCTGAAAGTGCACACTCTCAGGTTTAATTTGAGGGTATGTAACATCCAAATTGGAGAAATGTTTAGGAATTACAGCTCTTAAAAGTAGCCATCCCTCCTTTTTCAAGGGACCAAAAGTAATTGGACAATTGAATCAAAAGCTGTTTCATGGCCAGGTGTGGGCTACTCCTTCATTATTTCTTCAGCAATTAAGCAGGTAAAAGGTCTGGAGTTGATTTTAAGTGTGGTATTTGCATTTGGAATCTATTGCTGTGAAGCTATATCATGCATTCAAAGCAGCTGTCCATGCAAGTGAAACAAGCCATTGTAAGGCTTAAAAAATGACACAAATCCATCAGAGAGATGGCGGCAACATTTAGGTGTTGCCAAATCAACAGTTTGGTACATTCTGAGAAATGAAGAATGCACTGGTGAGCTCAGCAACATAAAAAGGCATGAACGTCCACGGAAGACAACAGTGGTGGATGATCACAGGATCCTCTCTATGGTAAAGAAAAACCCATTCACAACATCCAGACATTAAAAAAATTTCTTTTGAATTGTTGAAATTTATCATACAAGTAAATTGTGCCGTTAAAGTCCCACCAAAAAAGAGGACTTTTCCCCCTTGTATTCGTTAGGGATGTTGGCACTTTGTGTATTATATCCCTTCCTCTCTCAAGACTTAGACACAGGGTTTTAACAGAGAAACAGAGCAGGTTGGGGAACAAGGAAAGGATGAGCATAAGTGGGTGGGGTGTCAAGAGAACCTCTCATTTTGCCTTTTCCTGTCCACACAAGTGCTATGGTGTTTTCTATTGAATACAACCTCCAGAAACACATGGTGACTAATGATGTCTTCCTGGTGTAATTGTTCATGCAGCAAGTGACAGGGCAAGCAAGCCTACAGCGTATACGTGAAAAATTTACTCACAACTGATAACATGATTTATTCATATCCTTTTTTCATAATGTCAGTTTTCTCTCTATTTTTAGCAGCGTTCATTACCAGCACTGCTTCAGGATACGCTCTGTTGAGTTCTATATTAAAAATGACCAGGGTACACACATCTTTCCTTTTCCTCTTGTTGATATAAGTGAGAAGGCGCAAAAACAATTAAGGTCAGTGCAATATAAAATCATTCAGCGGCTCTTGTTAAATTGTGCATAAAGCACCACACACACCACCCACCTGTCATTCGTTCTGATCCCCGTGAATGGTTCAAGGAGACATACAGTATATATAGCATCATCAATCTAGATTGTAAAGGTAGGCTTGATAAAACTGCCAATGGCATAGGTGAGAGCTGTGCCTAGTTTTTAGAGAGGGCCCCTGGTTTTACAAAATCTGTTCCTAGAAGTTTTTGGGTTCCTGGAAATATCCTTTGCTTTCATAGTCAAATGAACATTGGCATCCTTCTTTTCTGAGTTTTTAATTAGCTTTATTTTTCTTATTATTATTATTAGGACTATAAAAACAGCCAATCTCACTCCTGGCAGGTGCCCTCCTGAGGATTTACCTCCCTTCCTGACCAGGCCATTTTTGTGATACGGCGCTGCGTTACTTTAACTGACAATTGCGCGGTCATGCAACGCTGCACCCAAATGAAATGTACGTCCTTTTTTTCCCAAGAATTGAGCTTTCTTTCAGGGGTATTTGATCGCCTGTGCATTTTTTATTTTTTGCACTATAAAAAAAAAAAAGACTGACAATTTTGAGAAAAAAAACAATATTTTGGACTTTTTGCTATTAAACATGTCCTTTACAAAAAATTTTAAAAATCACATTTTGTCACAAATTTAGGCCAAAATGTATTCTGAGACATGTCTTTGCTAAAAAGAAATCCCAATAAATTAATTGGTTTACGTGAAAGTTATAGCGTTTACAAATGGCGGTATATATAGCGAGTGCACGCCCCCTATCTGGAAATGCGAAATTACGCATGGATATATATATATGTGATTTTGTGCAACCGTGCTGCCCTGTAGCAGTACTTCTCCTATTTGGCGGATTGGAAACAGTTAAAGCCCAACTCCATCTTTGCACTTAGGCCGGGTTAACACTGTGATTTGGGTGCAGTGTAATTGTATCGTGTTTTAGGTGGTGCGCTCCCATTGACTTCTATTAGATTGTGTGTTTTCATGAAAGCACATCAAAGTCTTGCATGCTGCATCTTTGATGTCCTTTCAGAAAACGCAAAGTCTAATAGAATTCAATGGGAGCGCACTTAAAATAGCATGTAAAACTTTGATACAATCGCACTGCACCCAAACCACAGGGCACCAGAGTGAACCCGTCCTAAATTTTAAAAATAAGTAGCCGCATGTTAGAAAATGTAAAGAGCATCTCTTGTTGTATAACTCCTTTCATCTCTCTTCCTCTGTTCAAAGTTAGGTGATGCACAGATTTTCCCAAATCCTGTGAGCCCAGGCTTCTTACCACCCTGGACTCACACCCAGGCAGGAAACTCATTGCACAAAGCAGAGCAAACGCTTTGATAAATAATTATTTACTTTACTTATATTATAAATTCTACTTCTTGTGTTGTGCCCAGGGGCGGACTGACAACTCATGGGGCCCCCAGACAATAGGGGATCATGGGGCTCTGTGTCCTCGCCCACACTCAAACCACTCCCAAAAAAGCCTAAGAAAGGTACCAGGGGCATCTCATGGGGCCCCCTACTGACCCTGGGCCCTCGGGCAGTGCCTGAGAGTCTGAATGGTCTGTCCGCCCCTGCTTGTGCCCATAGGCATCAGTTCACTTTACTTTGTGCAGAAATTCCCCCTCCTCCCTTCTTTAGCTTAGATAAAGAGACAGCACAGTAGTAGGTATCTCCTTTCAGGCAAGATGTCTCTGAAAGCTAAAAGAGAGCTGTAAAGGAGGGGGAAGAGTCCTTGCTCTAATTCTTTCACTTTGAGGAAATATGTTGAGCTACTGAGCTCTATAAACAAATAGACTTTACAAATTCTAATAAGGAGAATCTGGAAAATTATTATTTTTTAGTTCTGACATTAATCAACACAGAAGATATACATTTATGGCAAAATGTTGGAGGCTGTTATTAGCACTATCTTCTTCTAAAAATGCTAGTTGCCTGGATATCTCTGGCTTTAATGGGTTCTTGTTCCAGCACTGGCCTGGAAGAAGCATCCACATTAGGGGTTCTGGCTTTACACTGCTGCTCCTAGTATTTCTTAACCCAATGTTCCTAAACCCAGGACCCTACATTCACCAGTTCCATAGTAATTTCTAGTCCAACATTGCTGCATGTTTTCCTGTCAAAACATCTCAACGGTCTTAAAGTGATACTAAACCCCGGACCCTGCATTCACTATATCTGGTCTCCCCGGACCCTGCATTCACTATATCTGGCCTCCCCGGACCCTGCATTCACTATATCTGGTCTCCCCGGACCCTGCATTCACTATATCTGGTCTCCCAGGACCCTGCATTCACTATATCTGGCCTCCCACAGTAAACACAACATGGAAATGTAATAATTTTAGTAAAAGTAAGCTACTAAATACCTTTTCTCATCAGCAGTCTTGTGATTTCATGTTCAGCAAAGCACATGTTAAAGCTTGTAGGAGGAGTTTTCTTTCTGCTCTAGGAGAATGCAAAACCTCTGACCTCTGTCTGGACAGTGCTGATCGGCCCTGTGCTGATCACATACACTCTCCCAAGAAAACAAAAACCGTCTCTAGCAATACACACCAAACTGAGCATGTGCACAATATCTCTACACGTTGTCTTATCAGGAGATAAGGGGGGGGGGGGTGGAAGAAGGGAGGATCAGAGATGTCAGGGTCAAACAGCTTTTTACATAATGCAGAGGATTAACCCCTTAGGTTCCACAGTGAGTATAACAAGCATGCTTTACTGCATATACAGACTGATTTTACTGTTGTGGGTTTAGTAACACTCTAAGCCTTAGACAGACAGACAAGTAGCAGATGGAGGTCAGAAATAACAGCCTACTTATTTCTCTCTTGAAAAGTTTTGTTTAAAGACACACTGTCACCATGCCCATGCAGGGCAAAGTGGGAGTATCTCCGAATTCCTGATACTCACCTTCAGGGGCAGACTGACCATTTGGAAACTCGGTCAGTAGGGGGCCCCATGAGATGCCCCTGGTACCTTTTTCATAGGCTTTTTGGATTTTGGCCAAGGACACAGGGGCCCCATGATCCCCTATTGCCTGGGGGCCCCATGGGTTGTCAGTCTGCCCCCGCTCACCTTCCCAGCTCTCCATCACTATTCTGGCTCAAAATCTCTAGTTTTAGCTTGGAGAATGGTGACATCACTCCTTCAGTCATGTGACAGTGCTTAGACTTAGTGATTGGTTGCTGGATATGAGCACTGTCACATGGGAGCAAGACACATGTTTATCCACAGCAAATATTGTCACTGCAATGGAGGTGGCAAGGGAAATATAAAAGGGTCAAGAATTGGGGAGATCTCTTTACAAGGTGGCAGTGTATCTTAAACAATGTTGAAGTCACATGTTTACATTTACGTTACCACTTCTAAGCAATCGCCAGTGAACAAAAATCGGTGCCTTCTATTTAATGCACCGCATAGAAGAGTGTCAAAGATTAGCATTTGGTGCTTGTCGCTAATGCCTCCTAACATCAGGTCTGAAAGCATGTATTGAACCTAATGGTTCAATAAACATAATCATTTAGCAAAGTGCTTTGTGCAATGAGTTTCCTGCCTGGGCTTGGTGTAGCAGGCTTTTGCACTTCGTTTGCCCCCTCAAGAATGCTTTTTCTGTACAACATTTCAATGTTGGGGGAAACATGGCCCTAAGGAACACAAGATTCTGCATATATCCCCTAGGTGTGTAAGTCCTCCAGCGCACTGGATGTTTTTACAGCGGCTGTTTTTGCGTTTTGGCATTTTTTTCTACAGGTAGTAAACCCCCCAGCATGTTATCCTATGTGTCCATGCACACAGACTGTAATCAATGTTTTTTGGCAGGGGTGTTCTTTGTCTGGAAAAACCCCCCCAGAATTATTATTATTAGGACTATAAAAACAGACAATCTCACTCATGGCAGGTGCCCTCCTGAGGATTTACCCTCCTTCCTGACCAGGCCATTTTTTGTGATACGGTGCTGCATAACTTTAACTGCCAATTGCACGGTCATGCAACGCTGCACCCAAATGAAATTTACATCCTTTTGTTCCCACAAATTGAGCTTTCTTTTGGTGGTACTTTATCATCTGTGTGTTTTTTATTTTTTGCACTATAAAAGAAAAAGTCCAACATTCTTGAGAAAAAAAACAATATTTTTGACTTAATTCTATTAAACATGTCCAGTAAAAAAAATTAAAAAATCAAATTTTGTCACAAATTTAGGCCAAAATGTATTCTGCGACATGTCTTTGCTAAAAAAAAAATCCCAATACGTGTAAATTAATTAGTTTAGGTGAAAGTTATAGCGTTCACAAATGGCAGTATATATATACTGGGATTTTAAATTTTTTTATTTTTACTAGTAATGGTGGCGATCAGCGACTTATAGCGGGACTGCGGTGGGCATTCTGACACTGGGTGAACTGACTTGATGTCACTGATATCCCCAGTGACACCAATACAGTAATCAGTGCTAATAAAAAGCACTGACACTAGTAAAAAATGCCAAAAAACACAAATACAAAAAAACACTGCAAAATGCTGCTAAACGCTAATACAAAAATGCTAAAAAAAAAGCTGAAAAACTCACGTTTTTAACATGACTTTACACAGCTAACGTTATCAGCGTTATTAAAACGCACACTGGACGTTTATACAGCGGCTGTTTTGGGGTTTTGGGGTTTTTTTCTACAGTAAACCCCCCCAGCATGTTATCCTACATGTCCATGCACACATAGACTGGAATCAACGTTTTTTGGCTTTTGACGTTTTTTCTACAGCCAGTAAACCCCCCAGCATGTTATCCTATGTGTCCATGCACACATAGACTGTAATCAGTGTTTTTTGGCTGAAAAAAAAAAACAGAAGTAGTGGGTTTCTAGAAGAGTTTTTTAGCTGTAAAAAATGCTCTAACGCTAATAAATGTGGAAAAAACGTAGTAAAACGTGGCAAACCGGTGTTTTTAGTTTTTTTTTAGAAAACGTTTTTTTTTTTTTGTGTAAAACAAGCAAACTGGACACGGCTAAACGATCATGAAAAAACACTGAAAACCTGTGTTTTTAATGTGACTTTATATGGCTAACCGTACCGGAGTTTTTAAAGCTTTCAGTGTACATGGGGACTTAAAGGAAATCTGCCATGAAAAATTACATAGGCTACAGGTGTTGGTCACATTCTGAAAATATTAGCTGCCATATTGATCTGATGGCTTCAGTCGGTAATTTGATTCACTGTTTGAAAAATAAATTTGTTCAGTGTTGCCTTACAGCAAATTTGTGCTTTACCCCATTCAGAGAAAAGCAACAGGTTTGCTTTAATCCTCCATTCCTACCAAGCAAATAGTTACCTTCCCATCACTTCTCTAACATACCATTCAGGTGTGTTGGGGCAATCAGCACTGTGACATGGGGAGTCTATAGGCCTGTGTAATGCACTCACATATAATCTGTATATCAAGGACGGACTGACAACACATGGGGCCCCCGGGCAATAGGGGATCATGGGGCCCCTGTGTCCTTGCCCAAACTCAAAAAAGCCTATGAAAAAGGTAGCAGGGGCATCTCATGGGGCCCCCTACTGACTCCGGGCCCTCGGGCAGTACCCGAGTTTCCACATGGTCAGTCCGTCCCTGCTGTATATAAACCGCTTTGTGCACAAAATGATTTTTTTCAGTGGTGAAAATCCTAAAATTGCCAGCTGGTGTCAGTGTGGAACCATCGAGTGCTGTGACGTCAAAGCCCCTCCCCTGCCCTTTACGCCACCGGTCATGAGGCTTCATCAGGGGTATGATTCATTCCACTGAAAAAAATCTGTAGCATACAATTTGTGCACAAACGGTTTATATACAGATTATATGTGAGTGTTTTACTTTTATTAATAAAACTGTTTTAAAAGGATAAAACACTATGATTTGATTATCCTCTATATTAACCACCGTAGAAGGAGAGCATATCGATTGAGTGGAGGACCCCAAACAGCAATATACCATCCCATCCATACTTTTGGCCCATTTAAAGGGACACAAGTGTTGTATGACCTTACTTAACGGTTTGGTCATATACTGGTGAGAGGTGAGAGCACAACCGGTGGGGAAGCACACTAATGCAAGTTTTTTCACACAAAAAATCAATTAAGAAACACGGGATATTTATTTTATTCTAAGTGAACTATGAATGTTTGAAGAAGTATATATATGGACCTTTTTTGACTTTTTTTAACATGTATATGGACAGTACTTTTGGAAATTGATATTGGTTGATTTATTCATTCTAATTTTATCCATATATTATTTTGACAGATATTATTAATAGAAGCACTTGGGTGTACTTATTATTTATATTTAGTAATTTTAAGTGAAGAGCGGCACAATTTGGATATTTAGTTAGGTTATCTGTAACTTACACTTTCCTTCACTCCTATTGGCTAAATAGTGCACAAAATACAGGTGAGTCTATGCTGCTGGGGAAGGCTAAATAAAGTTAAGTTCTTCCTAATGGACTTCATTAAATTCCATTTAAAACTCCATCTAGCCCCCGGTTCACAAATATGCGGCCGTGCGGGACAGACGTTTTGCATGGGCACGAGTGCTCGTTCATTTGAATGGACTCCCGTGTCCGTGACACGCAGGGAAGAAGTCCCTGCACTTCTTTGGAAAACGTAGTCTGCACGGGAACCTCGTTTCCCACTATGGTTGCGTTTTCCAGTGCGGGCGGCATGCCGTTAGAACTAATGGCACCCGCCCGCGGGTCCGCAATTCTCTGTACAGGTGGTGCGGCTGAATGGATTTTCGTTTCCCACTATGGTTGCGTTTTCCAGTGCGGGCGGCATGCCATTAGAACTAATGGCACCCCCCGCGGGTCCGCAATTCTCTGTACAGGTGGTGCGGCTGAATGGATTTTCGTGCGGATCCACAGCGGCACCACCCACGCATATGTGAATCTAGGGTAAGACTATCCTATCTACACAGTGACAACACTGCTATGTGATTTTGCTGCAGAATGAACAGCATTGTCACCCTACTACCAAATTGTAAAAACATGGCAGGATTAACAGGTGATAATGTCATGTTACAAAGGAAGAAACATAAAACCGCCGTGATAATGGTATTGAAATACTGCAGCACTTTTTGTTTTGCCTATAGTTGTACTTTAGATTAACGTACATTTATAAGACTACATTAAGTTCTTGATGCATTTGCCTTGCAGTTGATGCGACAAGCACGCTGACTTGCCGGAGGAATACAAACAAAGCACAAACTGATCTTTAAAGACAACTATAATGCATATAATTACAATATTTCCTGATTACCCAGAGTAGTTAAAAGTTAAGATTGCCATTGAAACAAAATATATGTGGAAAATAAATAGGCTACAAGACTGAAAGATGAACAACCTTTATAGAATTGTTCTGCAACAGACATCATATGTTGTACACAGCTTGGAACAGTTCTATGTATGTCTGTTTTCATTTTTGATGGGTGTGATATTGTAGCCCTCTGCTAATTGTTGTTGAGTATATATATATATATATATATATATATATATATATATTACAATTAACCCCTGCAGGCCTAAGGGTAAAACAAATCTTAATGCCTAAGCACAATTTTGCAACGTTGACATGTGTTAGTAAAACCGTACATATCATCACAACTACTTTGTACATCCAGGTGAATTATACCGCGTTTTTTTTAGGACAAATTGAGCTTTCATTTGGTGGTAAATGGCAATGGATATCTCCTGATTTTTTTATATTATCAAAGGAAAACTGGCTCAAAATAGTAAACAAAAAGATTTTTTTTTAATTTAGCTGTGTGTTTTCTTCTTACTACTGTAACCTACCACCAAAGAACAACCCAAAATACATTTTCCAGCTCTCGACGATCGTAGCGATACCATATATGTGTATGTTATTTGTTGTTTGTACCCGTAGTACAGCCCAGAAACAATAGTGCGCATTTTGTTTTTTGTTTACCTAAAGCCCACTGACACTGACAATAACTGACACGAATATCAGTTTTTTTCAAATCCAGACTTTTGACCCTGATCTTTTGACCTTTGACCTCGACCTTGACCCAAACACTTACCCTGGTACTGAACTAGATCAAATCTTGATCTAAGTATTTTTTTCTTATATTTTTTTAATATTTATCTTTTCTTTTTTTTTTTTAACAGACATTTTTTTTCCCCCTCTATGCCAGGAGTTAGAGAGATACAATGTATCTCTCTCCTCCATTCACAGAGAGAGAAAAAAAACAAGGGGGCCGGGCTGTACAGTCACTGATCACTGTGATAGCCAATCAGAGGCTATCACAGTGGTCATGTGACCCGGAATCAGGAGTCCCGGGTCTCGATCGTTACAACAGGACCCAGGGCTCTCAGTGACACCCTGGTCTTTGTGCTGGGAGTGTACTGTGCGGTGCGCTCCCAGCATAAAGAGAGGTACGCAAATATACGGCCTCACGCAAAAAAGCCTAGTTCTGTGAGGCCGCATATTTGTGTGACGTCGGCGTCAAGGGGTTAAAGAATCATCTCCTGGACGAAGCTACGAAATCCCTGTAGCGCAACGCGTTGGGGAGGGGCAGTGACGTCACCGCGCATCCTATCTACTATACGGCGAGTACTGAAGGTGTGTGGACACACACCCACCGCTATGTTTTAGCTGCAAGCTGCGGATTTTTGACAGATCTAAAAGCGCTATTGTATTACATGGCATGTGAGTGCATTATGGAAGCACATTAAAAGCTGTTTTTACCCCTGGGATAAGACACCATATTCTTTATTTCTCTTTTACATGAGACACACGAGGAGCATAAAGGCAGAGGATTGAGGAGTGGATCAGAGGAGGGAGTATCCCTCACAGCCCTGCAATCACACAGGTTTCCAACATTATTGCGAAGACCTGATCTACATACTGAAGGAGAGCATATCCATCTTTACTGGACACAATTGGGACAGTACTGCTGTTTCCTTTTCAGCTGTTTTTTCATTTTTATTTATTATTTTTTATTTTTATTTTTTTTCAGTTATAGCATATATATTTTTTTGTGGTTTACAGATGGAATAGTTGCACATTCATATAAGGATGGCACAAATAGTGATTTGACAATAAGACATCATTGTATCAATTGATTTAATTCTTATATCTATTTATTACTGTTATATTATTTTTTAAGCACTTTGCACTTTTTTGTCTGCACTTTTTGATGGTATTAGAGCACGGTTATTATTTTAAATACTTTTTCTACATAATAGACAACTATAGGGAAACATATTGTATTCTGAAAATCATATCAGGTCTGCTAGTCCCACTAAAGGTGTGGAGTAAGCTATGACGATATCACCACTGTGCTGCTCCTTGTTCTCTTTGCTGGAAGCTCAGACATAGTGGAAGCAAAAGCCCTGCCTCTACCAAGATAAACTACTTCCTTATTGAGACAACAGTGCAGAACATGGAATAGTAAATCAGTAATGGGGAAAAGATCACCTGCAGGAAGACCACTTGCAATACTGGTGACTAGTCCTTTGTATTCTGCCTGCCTTTTTGGGCACAGCTTCCACAATTCAGATCACCTTTAAAGCAGTATTAAAAGATAAGTTCACCTTTGGGAACATGTTACATGTTCTACCTGTTTTTAAGGTGGAACATGTAACATGTTCCCACCGCTGCCCCCCTCCCTGTGACAGCAGTATGGGGAGAAGTTACCCGTACTAGCTGCAGCTGGAAACGGTACAGCCGTGCGGGGCTCCGCACACACAGCTGCGTAAATCATTCACAGAGTTCTGTGAATGAATGAACTACAATCCTGACAGCCTTTGCGGCTGTCGGCTTGTAGTTCTCAATGAACTACCACAGCACTGTTGACCACTGGTGCAATACTTTCCAGGCTCCAGAGAAAAAGAATTAGTAAATGCACTTTTTTTTACCTGCAAGAAAATGGGCATTTATTATGTTTTTTGAAAAAGTTAAATTACCCTTTAAACCCAAAGCCAAAAATGTAATATACTGCAGTTTACCAACCATTAGATGTGGTGATTGCATTTGTTCTCTTTCCTCTGTTTTCCCCTGGTGATCTGGCCAGTTACACACCTCCTATGAGTGGATGAAGGAGCACAGGGGCACCTTTGCACAGCAGCATTGTCAGTCTGGGGGGACTGGAGCAGGGGCGGACTGACAACTCATGGGGCCCCCGGGCAATAGGGGATCATGGGGCCCCTGTGTCCTTGCCAGGGGCGGACTGACAAATCATGGGGCCCCCGAGCAATAGTGGATTATGGGGCTCCTGTGTCCTTGCCCAAACTCAAAAAAGCCTATGAAAAAGTACCAGGGGCATCTCATGGGGCCCCCTACTACTGACCCCCGGCCCTCGGGCAGTGCCTGAGTTTCCAAATGGTCAATCCGCCCCTGGTCCTTGCCCAAACTCAAAAAAGCCTATGAAAAAGGTACCAGGGGCATCTCATGGGGCCCCCTACTGACCCCAGGCCCTCGAACAGTGCCCGAGTTTCCAAATGGTCAATCCGCCCCCTGGAGTGGAGTTAGAAGTACTAGCAGATTTAGATACAATAACAAATGGAAGATGAATTCCAGCTAACTTCTTTTAGGATAAACATTTAACACAAATAAATAAAAGCTGATCATTGTAAGCATCCCTGTCAATATTAAATGGTTTGTCTAAACCCTCTAACTGCTACATCCACAGAACAGCTTGTTCTTTTGAAAAACAACAGACTTACTGGCTAGACTATCAGGTGAAAATAAAGAGGAAAATAGCCTAAAAAAGAAAACTAATGCAAACATCACATCTAAGAATTTGTAAGATGCAATATAATAAATGTTTGCTTTGGGGTTTTATACAGCTTTAAGTAGAAAAAAAACTGGATTAGTTCCTATAGGTAACTACATTCAGCAATCATCATTTTACTTACATGTATAATTGACTACAAATCTATTTTTCTGTACATATTCAGGGTCTTTTACATAAGTACCTTTGAAATGTTGTTAGCATTTTGTTTTCAAACTAATCTAATTTCTTGTTATTGGCCCCTTAACTGTAAAACGAAATATCTGCTCTAATACACCAAATTCTCTAGCAACACCACAGAAGAGAAGCTGGGTGGATTACACGTTTATTACACTTTTAATAAGCAAACTGTCCAAAGCAATTCTCATATGAAATGAATGTTTCATGGTGGCTTTTCTGGCAGTAAAGATTTGATTACTTTGGATGGACCTGTACAATTAGGATTAGCAGAGAACTTTGAATTGGCAGGAAGCAGGTTCAGGCGTCAGCAAATAGAGACCCTTCTATTTTCTGAGCCGAGATCCCCCTACGCACCTGAAATTTGTTTCATATGGGACACATGCACTATATTCTTATCTCTGCATAAAGCACTTAAAATGGGTCCCATCGCCCAGGAACACAAAGTGGCTATTACCCAGAGCTGAAGTGCTAGGCAGAGAGTACAATTAAATAAACCTTTGTGGTCTGGTAACAATGCCTCCCTCACAAGAAAATAACAATCTTTGGGAAACACTTAACATGTTTTCCAGATTGTGCCTCGTTATATTGAATGCCAAGTGCGGCATGGCGATACATGCGTCAATCCAAGAGTTTTTTCCAGGCTAATTTCACCCTTCGTTTTATGAGGGTTGAGATAATATCAGACTTCAAGGTGACAGCATGAAGGTGTAAGAAACAAGGGTGGTAAATGTGACTGCGAGGGGTCATAGCATGAAGAATAGAGAACTGAGGGGAATGATGGAAGGCAAGGTGCAGAAAGGAATGTGGAAGTGGTATAGGGGTGGGAAAAGATCAGACTCGATCCAGCTGTGGCGCATATTTCAGCATATAGGGGTTATTTACATAGAATTTGCAGTTAATTCCTAGTGAGTACTCATTTGCGTTTATCCTGTAAACGTTTGTGTAGCACTACCCTTATAAGGGCCGCTGGATTTGATTGGGTCCCCCTATGCTCTGCACAGCCAGGCAAGATTTATTTTCCACCCTTGTATATTCAGTCAGTAAACTTGGATAGGGTACAGGGGTTATGGGTTGCCCAAGTTAATTGAAGAAATAGAGAATGAGGACGTTTCCTGCTTTGGCATACTTAGTAAAAAAAACAACACTTGATTGCTTAGTAAATAATCCCCTGCTAGGAGCTTGGTGCCCCCTGAGTGGATTTCTAGTAACGTGGCAATGTGTAGGAGCTATTGGTTTCTCATGGTGCACAGAATACCAGCCCACCTGGCTATGGTGACCGATCCCAGGACAAGGGATTGGGTAAGGTATGAACTGTCCCCTGAAGACTTGTCAGAACTTGCATCCAGCAGACTTCTCCCTTCTAGGCCCTGGGGGTGTAGCGGTTCTCTCACAGTCCTTGTCCTGCAGCTGTGGATAGAAATGCTTTTAGGCCTACTAACTGGGCTGGTTCCTCTCCAAGCTTTGCAGGCTGTCCTGTGGATGACAGGGCAGTGGAGCTCCCTCTTTCAGCTTCTCCTCAGCTTCCAGCCTCCAGCCCTGGAAGCAGAACCCCCCTCCTCTGGGGCTCCCTCCCAGGCTATACAGCAACACCTCTCAGCACTCCATCTTCCACCCAACTCCCATGCTAGCATGGCTCTCTCATATTTACGGGCTAGTCTACCAAACTACCAGGATTGGTCAGACTGCCAGAAATATGCAGATTGAGGTCTCCACCCTTCCATCTACAGGCTTCTGGAAATTTTCATGGTCCTCTAGAACCTAACTTGCTGAGTCATCTAGCCTGACCTCACACTGAACCCTCAGTAATTCAGTCTCACTCACTACCATGAGCCAAAAATAAATTTACCTTACCCTGGCCCCACCTAGTGGCCGTCACATTCGATTTAATATATTTCTGATGCAGCTTTGAAAGCAAAGTCCACCTTTCTGATCAAGCTTCATATTACACCCATGTCTAGGGTATAGCATGAAAACTAGTCACAGCCTGCAGCTCCGCACCCCCAAACCTTTCCCCCAATTTACTGAATTATTTTCCCCATACGCTCTTGTCATTTTTGAATTTGGTGCCACTGTGCATAGCTCCACTTGCACAGTCATGTCATCCTTTCACATAAATCTGTAAACGAGGAGTTTACAAGTCTCATCTGCCACCTCGGGCAGACGGACTTGTAGTTCTCAATGAAAAACAAGTACAGCGATGTCACTGAATTTGTAGTCCACCGATGCCTTCTCCAGGCCCATAGCCAAAGGTCATACTGAGGTACAGACCTCGGCTAGAAGAATAGTCTACAGGAGCATTCACGCTACCCTCATGATCTACTTTACAGGTTCAAATGCAAAAAAAAATATTAAATGCACCAAATCATTGTAGGTGCATTTCATTTTTTTTTTGCAAAGGTGGAATGCCTTTAAAGTGACCCTGTCGCTAGCTAAAAGAATTTCCACCAGAGTCAACCTGCAAAGAAAAAACGAATACTCACTTATCCAGCGGGCGTTCCTGCTGACCCCTACTTTACTACAGGACACAGTAATGATATAGTTCAAGCCCTTCTGTGCACTGACTGCAAGAGGCTGATACCAAGTTAATCTCAGGTACTTGCATTGGAAAATGAGTCCAGAGCTCAAAGTCTTTTATATCTTCCAGGTGTTTGGCTTTAACGCTAAAAGTAGCTGAAGTTATATACAGTGACAGAGGTTTTGGTAAAGAATAGCTGGGATTAGCCAAAGGGTCATGTTTGCCAGTAAGATACAAGCTTAACTTCAGTACTAGCTAATATCAGAACATGTGCACAGACCAGAAATCAGACTTATAGGTCATAGATAAGGATAGGGTAAATGGGATTTAAGAAGGTCAAGGTCTGCAATGACAAGAAATGGAACTAGAGAAGCACACGTAACAACCAGAAGATTCAGAAATTTGGTGCCCTTTAAAAGAAATGCCTAACCAATCACTGAGCCCAATGACATACTGTACATCAGCTCATGTGCCCATGTGCTGGCGGACAGACATAAACAGTGCAAACGCCAGGGCACAAAGGAAACAGCAAGGTGGAGTATTATAACTGCAGTGTGGACAGGGTTAACCTGAATATTCATTAATGCAGAAGTCCAGCAGCCAGATTATTGTGCTCTCTCTAGCCGATATCTTGCTCCTTTGGGTTTCTGCTGTTGTCCTTATCTCTACTACCACAAGTTACCTTTGGCTTGTTTCTCAACTATGCTTTTGCTTGATACCGACCTGCAACCACTTGTTGCTGACCTTTGGCTTGTTTACTGACTACACAACTGCTTGATCCCTACATGCTATATCTGCTACTGGACCTCAGCTTGCTCATCCCCTGGTGGGACAATCCTGGGGATCACGACCTGGTGCTAATGCGCAGCAAAATCCATCTCCACCATCAGGAGCTCTGGTGTATAATTAGTGCTTAGACTGCGCACCTTGGGTGAGTCCACATCATCCGTCAGGTTGCCCTGCTTTTCTACTTATCCAACTGGTCGCTGGGAACCTCTCTACTACTATAGCTACTGGTCTCCGAGCATGACCCCTGACCGTGACAAATAGCTGACTACAATAATGAGATACAAAGAGACTACTCACTTTGCCTCAGAGATCGGGAACTTTCTCCCTGGGAAGATGTGAGGTGTGATTTGGATGCCTGGTGAGATCAGACTGTACTGGAGAGTACTCCTACCACTTGTGAGGTAGAAAAGTAAGGGCTGTGTCAGCAGGATTGAAAGAGGCATAACAGCAATCGCTGTCTGAGGACTTTAACTGAACCAGAGCACGTGTCCAGAAACTCTGGGTCTGGTAAGAGAATAACATTGCACAAGTTAAAGTGGTTCTAAATTCTGAAGTTTTTTTTTTACCTTAATGCATTCTCTGCATTAAAGTGTTACTAAACCCTAAACCCACAACAGTAAAATCAGTCTGTATATGCAGTAAAGCATGCTTTTTCTACTCACTGTGGAACCTAAGGGGCTAATCCTCTGCATTGTAATGTAAAAAGGCTGTTTGATCCTGTTTTCTCTGCCCATCCTCTTGTTCAAATGTCCACCTGATAAGACAGACTGAACATGTAGCCACATGCACATGCTCAGTTTAGTGTGTATTGCGAGAGAGGTTTTTTTTTTTGTCTTGGAAGAGTGCATGTGATCAGCACAGGGCCAATCAGCACTATCCAGACAGAAGGTCAGGCGTTTTGCATCCTCCTAGAGCAGAAAGAAAACTCCTCCTACAAGCTTTAACCAGTGCTCTGCTGAACACTGATAGAAGTCACAAGACTGCTCTAACTGCTGATGAGAAAAGGTATTTAGCAGCAATTATTTACTAAAATAATTGCATTTCTATGTTCTGTGTACTGTGGGAGACCAGATATAGTGAATGCAGGGTACTGAGTTTAGTAACACTTTAAGGTAAACAACCTTCACAGTGCAGCTCACGCTTTGTGTATCTATGAAAACATAGAGCCAACTCGGGAGCAAGCCCACACAAGTGCCCCCATAGCAAGCAGCTTGCTATGATGGGCACTCTGCAGGGGAGGAGGAGCCAGGAGTGCC